AAGATGGCCAACTTTTACCAAGTGTAATATAAACGGAGGCCATTCGTTAATCACGACAAATGTCCATGAACTTCGTACCGCTGTATTAAGTAACTTAAAAAACGAGCAATTTATGGGCAAAAAAACGTTCTCGGCCGGAAATTCGCCTCGCGATCGAATCTACCTAATAACGTTTTCGGGGTAAATGGCATAAAAGTTTTTCGGCCGACATTCGCCCATCAGGAATAACCTCATGTCGAGCCCTCATCAAATTTTCAACGCGGTATTCTATACCGCAACCATCTCGGGGAATGCGTATCTCGTTCTCGCGCGCGCGAACTTTCCCAAATAAAGTTCGGAACTTGTTTTAGACCAAAACGCGGGCGTTCGCACGTGTGCAAACTTTTGCGAGATACGCAAATCAGGGGAAGTTATTAAGGCTCGCTCCCGTTACTTTGCCGAGATTATTTCTTACAGAAGGTACACATATACAACATGTATATAATATAAAGCTACGTTCAAAAAACTGGGAAAATTATTGATTTTATTCCTGGCGTCGAATTTTATAATATATGTTTAATATCTGCTTCAAAGATCAATTTTAGCTCTTTCTCTTCTTATTAATTATAATTAATTTCGCGCGTAAGAATTAAAGTGTCCATAGACGAGTCGCTGCTATCACAGATCACATTAAAAGTGATGATCTAATCAAAATTATCGATTTCGATCCTGGCGTCGAAATTTGTAATATCATACGTTTAAGCATAATATCCGCTTCAAAGATCAAATAAAATTTCACTTTCGAAATAAAATGCGTCATTCTTTACTTTTCTCAAATTTAATGCATTATGAAATACATAGTGCTTGGAGCCGCAGAATTATACAAATTTATTATAATTTTAGCTCTTTCTCTCCTTTCATAATTAATTTCGCGTTTAATTAAAGTGTCCGTAGACGATCTGCTATCAGAGATCACAATAAAAGCGATGATCTCTTCGTTAGTTGAGCAATTACAGTTCGCTATCGGCTTAATGTTTTCATGAGTGCTTCTTAATGAGAGAGCCGATGCTTATAAAAGGGCGAAACGGGTCACTTGTAGCACAAAAAAAAATTAAATCGGGGGCATTATATTTATAACAAAGCTGTCCAATTGGAAATGTGATGATAAATATTCCCGCGTCATTCAGATGCTTTGCAATTTTGCATATTCAACTATCTGTTACATATTCGACAGTCACGTCATGAGATTTAAATATATTATTGAAAGAAATGTCCATGTGTGTATATGTGTATATCTATATATTTTATATATATACATATATGTATATCATATATATGTATATATATACATACATACACATATATGTATATCAGGACGAACAGAATGGCAGGAGATCGATACATTGCATGGAGAATCATAATTTGCAGAGACGAAAAAAAAGGAGACTATAATCAACATAGACAGCCCTGATGTCTGCTTTATCGTGAAAAGAAAAAAAAAAGGAAAGAAGAGATCAAGATATATTTCTCGCCCGAGACATCCGGCAAGCGAATTTTATTTCGTACAAATGAGCATCCGATATACGTGAGGATGTTTTCAAGTATCTACGTGATAATAATAATTCAGTTACATCAATATCTCGAACTCATTCACCCCTATTCGTGCGCATTTATATTCATTCTACAATGAAGAAAGAGACGGAAAGTGTCGTCCCGCGAGACAAGCATAAAGTTCGAGTTTCTGGAGCGTCTTCGATCGGGGATTCATATTTCATGACCGGCGTACCCGTTCCAGAGAAAGACGTCTACGGCGCCTCTAAAACTCGGCCATCTATATTTCAAATCATTGCGAGCATGCATGGATAGATTATCGTCGTTGAACGCGAGGAGACCACTCCGTGTCTCGTTATACAAGGAGAAGTCGTCGGCGCGAGTCAGACGCAAAAAAAGTTTCGTTCGCTTCGGGGGGAGAAAGAAAACGGATCGCGAGAGCGAGACGCAACTTTCAGCCTACCGTTCGTTTCAAGCCGGCCGTCTTTTGCGTGGCGTTTAATTCACCGGGATTATAAACAACCGCCGCGCCGGCGGTAACCGTTAATTACGATAAGCCGCAAATCCCAAGTATTAACCCGTCCTTGCCGCGCAACGTGTACTTTACGCGCAAATCCTAAATTCCGGCCGAAAAAAAAATTACGGTGAAGATGAAGAGGGAGCAGAAGAAGAGGGACAAGCATCTCACGTGGTCGTGCGGGCTGTCCTCGACGTGACATTATTCGGGAAACGTTCAACGGTACTCCGAAATGGCGATGTAGATCATCTCCGGCGAATCTTATTATTACGGCAAAATCGCGCGTATTTTTCATATACAAGGTGATCATTATAAAGAGGCTGCAATTATTTTTTTTCATCAATATGAGAGACTTGTGGTTCGGAGAAAGATAGCGTTTTCGGGTGTATACGCATACGCGTCTACCTAATATATCGGTGTAATATCTCTCTTTGCTAATGTAAACGGTGAAAGGTGAGTGTTATCTTTTCGAACCACTTTAACATACATTTCTTTCGTGCACTTTGTTCACTCCGTGAGAATGCGCCATATGCCGCACGGCATATACAAGGTGATCATTATAAAGAGGCTGCAATTATTTTTTTTCATCAATATGAGAGACTTGTGGTTCGGAGAAAGATAGCGTTTTCGGGTGTATACGCATACGCGTCTACCTAATATATCGGTGTAATATCTCTCTTTGCTAATGTAAACGGTGAAAGGTGAGTCTTATCTTTTCGAACCCCACTTTAACATACATTTCTTTCGTGCACTTTGTTCACTCCGTGAGAATGCGCCATATGCCGCACGGGGCCGGGCACGACTTTTAGCATCGAAATCGCGTGCCAGTAATTGTCCCTATTACCCTTGCTTTACTGTTGCATTACGATGTAGGAAAAGCGCTCTCAATTAAGCGGCGCGTCCTAATTGATCTTCCGATGCGCGTGCACGCAGCTCCAGCCGCGCGATACGTATATAACGGTGTGCCCGCTAACGTAGAGGAGATCGCAGCAATGCCAATCGCGAAAGCCGACGAATGTAACTATTAAGATAAAAATTTGAATTCGACGAGACCGTTCGAGAAATTTAAGATTTTAAAATTAATTTCTTAAATTATACAGAGTGATTAAAGAAATTACAATAACAATTTTACGAAAATTACAATCGTTAGAAAATGTCTGTAAAGTTGTCACGACGCGTTTCCAACGATCATATAAATTACATAGCGTAAGAAATTATATAGAAAAAATTGTATACATTAAGATTATACATATATAAATATATATAACGTTGCAATCTTTATAGAATAATTTTTGGAAAATTATTCTCTCTCTCTCTCTCTCTCTCTCTTAAAACACATGTGTTGGGAAATAGTATTTTATTTTTTAAATTCTTTTACCATTTGATCTCTTATTTTATTATTTCTTATATTGTGTATTATATACACTATTGCAATCAGCTGATTTTGACAAGTTGATTGCTAATATTAAATTTGAATAGTTGATTAATTATATTTCGTTAAAATAGAATTATTAAATCTAATGTTAAAAGTTTTGCTATTAGTTTTGAATTTATTAATTAGCTTTTCATCATTAGTATACTATTGTACTCATACATAAAAAATGATAAACTAAAATCAACTGTCTCAAAAAAAAAAAAAAAAACAAGTAGAGTTGTGCAAATTAGAAACTTGCACATTGCTTTCTCATCATTTTATCTTACAATGATTAAGCTGATTTAAGTATGCGGATTTTTCAATTTTTGCTTTTTCATAAAGGAAGCTTTGTGAGCGAAATAAAATCAATTGCAAAAAAAAAAAAAAAAAAAAAAAAAAATAGTCTGTAAAATAAAAAATGATAAACTAAAATCAACTGTCTTAAAAAAATAGTCTGTCGCCCAAAATAGAATAAATCTAATTGAAGTTTCATGTATATAGCCGTCGTTATCATTCGATGCATTCGCATCGCCAACGAAAATACAGATCCCCGTCTCTAAATTGCACGACCGGATAATCGCGAGCCGAAGCTGGACCGCCGGCGCGAATTTGCATTCCATTGTAATTACGATACAACCTCGTAATCTCGCTTACGTGGACGCTGTGACGCACACGTTTAGATGACGATTCGAGAATGGTGTTATTTTCGTGGCGCACGTGTCGATTTTATTATGCCGAGAGATTGATCGAGACACGACGATGACGCGTCCCTCGACATCTTCTCCGTAGAATTTTTTCTTGCGCTTCTTTCTTCAATATTTGTGTGTGTACGTTAGAGTTATCTTCGCGAATATCGAAGTTCGTAAAAATATGCGCATAATTCCACGCCACATTCGGAGTCTCGTAACTGATTTTATAAAAGAACAACGCGCACGTGTACGTATGCCCGAGGAAAGGAAGGACGGAGACGATCCGGATCTTATATCCCTTATCATACCCCGCTGTTTATCGTAACTCGCTGCTGCGAACTAGACAAGCTGTTTATTCTGCAAGAAGCAATAAAGTATATAACTTTGATGATATATTAAAAGAGACCGCTCATTTTACGCCATCTACACATAAGCTTTTTCATATTTTTTTATTATACATTACTCTGCTTAAAGATTAGGAACATTTTCTACATTTTTTAGATAAAATTATATATTTTTTACGATATAATTATTTTATTGGAAATGCTGATATTTATTTATAAACTCTTCATAAATAAATATCGATATATTAGCAATAAAATAATTGTATTTATAAAAAAAAAAAAAAAATAATTGTATCTGAAAATTATAAGATGCTCAAAATCTTTGAACGCGATAATATAATATAATATTACATCTTCTACATTTCAGCACTATTTTGTTGGGTTTATGTGAAAATGATTTTTCATCTAGGTATAGCATAAATAATACAGTGATAACTCGATGTACATATAAATCGATACTCATGACGAGAATAATAATAACGTAATTCTGTTTTTCATTTTTGCAGCCAGAAGAGGCAACAGCAGCAGCAGCAACAGCAGCAACAACAGCAGCAGCAGCCGCCGCCGCCGCAACAACAGCAGCAGCACTCTTCCTGGCACAGGACCACTCTCGCCTCCTGACCATCGTGACCTTGACCCTGGCCGCGAGTCCAGCGATCCTGAATGTGGCGTGCACGGAGAAAGGAACCGCGATGGACGAGAAATACCGCGACGCCACTTCTTACGCGGTTTCGGCTACTTACCGAGGCCGTTTGTACGAGCGACGCGGAGATATGCGGACGAAGAAACGCCGGCCGGCGAGAAGCTTTGCGGAATTATCGCCGCAGGATACCCGTTGAAGCGTATCCTTTTCTCCTCGCGGTGGTGTAGTCGACGCGACGTCGACTCGATTCCGTTCGTACATTTTCCTTTAACCCGCTGTTAGTCGCTCGTTATTATATTCCCGCTTTATTATCGTACGCATTCGTTAAATTATCTTCTTCAAAAAATGCGAAATAATAACGATATGAAATTTAAATCTTTATTTTATCGAAAAAATGCTCTGAATTATATTACGTTATATATGAAGATATTTTTAGCGTGTGTTATATACATATATATATATATGAATTATCTGTATCTAAAATTATGATAAAACTTGTTTACATGCCAAAGTAAGAATGAGATAAAATACGAACGAGACTGACGGTGTGTTAAAAGATTAATTACGACGAGCAATCTTAATAAACACTCGATAAACATTCGTAAATTATATAAAGGCATAAATCACATGTGATAAAATCATACGCGAATGTAGACGATAATCGGTTAGTAGAGTAGAGATTAGAGGTAACGTATTTTGACTGAAGAACTCGGCAAACTTCTTAGCGAGTTCAAGTCGAAAATATATTTTTCTGTTAAACTTTTTGTACTGACAAGACGAAGTATTCTCTCTCATATCTATGCAGAACCAATGCCAAGTCATAATAGGACCAGTCACTATTATCAAGGAAAAAAAAAAAAAAAACAAACAATGTACACGTCAAACGTGCAATTGCGGAAAATTACGCAAGTATTCCGTAATAAGGTCGCAGATCAGAACTGTAATACGCGGTTGATTTGCGCGGCGAATTACAGCGAAAGAAAGAAAAAAAGTATCTCTAGTGTAGACTCGTTGATGTGATGTTTTGTAAGACTACACCACTGCTTCAACGATATATACTGCGCGATTTTTTCTCATCGTCACAACTTTGTAGAGACCCTTGACACAAGTGCAATGACACGAACGCCGTGATGAGGCTTCTCCGTTTCGTACACGTAATCTGTTTTTTATATAAGTAGTAGGCAAAAAAAAAAGCTTTTGCCAATTTGTTACTAATTATTTAGACACAAGTTGTAAAACGAAAATCTGTTCGCGAAAAACAGATCGCATCGATATTAATTTTTAATTTAATTAGAATTAAAAGAATCCTAGAATGTAAAAATCTTTAAGAGACACATGTTGAATTTTCATTAGAGAAAGAAATACAATATTGTATTTAAAGTTATATTCGACTTTTGTATTGTATAATGCGATGGGGTTTCTTTTGTTTGTAACGTTATTTGTTATATCGTACCCTTGTTATTTTACATATAATTCGTTATCGATTTAACACTATTTTATCGACGGAATACTTTTTTTGCTCGCAGCATCGTCACGGCGATCGTAACCAATTTTCCGATCCCAGCGAAATAGAAATTAGTGCGTCACGCTTCACAAATATTTAGAACCGTAATTTACGAGCCGAATTTACACGAGCAGTATGCGATTGATTTCTATCTGCGCATTTAACGATGATGCATTTAAATTCTTCGAAATTCGATACGTTGATTTTACGCGTTTTAATTTCGTCATAAAAATTTCGTTGCACACTGGTTAATTTGAATATTGTTAAAGTTCGCAAAAAACGGCGCGTTTTCGCAGATAAAATCCTATCGTTAAATTTAAGATGATTTATTTATTTCTTTTTTAATTAGCCTAATTAATTGGCGCGTTACTTTCTTGTCTGTTGACAAGTCGATTTATAAACAGCTTCTTCGCTTTAGATTATCTCGCGATAACACCCTCATAAAAAGAGTCTTAATCTTTCAATCAATATTTACTTATTATTATAGCCTAAATGTTACACGTAGGTTTATAATCTTGCACAGTTAGTTAAATAAAATTTATGATTTTGGGAGTAAATTACGAGTATGTATACGTCGACTGAATTTCTAACGAAGAGCTCGAGATAACTTTAATAAGGATTTTACGCGTTCGTGTTTATTTTTCTCCTTTCTCTTATCGTTCTTATCTTCTTACGTATTACACACGATAATTGGCAATATCGAGTACAATTCTTTCTAATTCGTTTTGTCTAGTTTGTTCCGGTTAGAAATACTACATGGACAATTAAAGAGCATCAAATTGATTACGACTATTTGGCTCATTTATCGTTCGTATGTGTGTGCGTGCGGCTATTTCCGTCGACCACCGGAAAACCTCGGAGACACAATAACGTATCACAGAAATGCCATTTCAAAAATAGTCACGCTTGAGTATTCTAGCGCGAGCGGAGCTATTTATTGCGTAAGTGCAATCCTTATCTAATTGCTCTTATCTAATTATGAATTATGAATTATAAATTAGCTCTTATCTAACCATGAAATAAAATTATAGGATGAGAAATGTTCTGTTGTTAGTGTAAATTCGGCGAATGAGAATGAGCGCATTAATCCTTTGCAATCCGACACTTATTATTACCGTATAATATTTCTCGTCGAAAAAATTTAAATAATTTTTCAATAAATCGCTGTCTCTATTCAATTTTTATTCACTTAAAACGCACGATGTACGTACGATTTTCTCTGCGTTATATAATGTTTAGGAAGAACGCAAAGGATTGAAGCGCATAAAAAAAAATGAAAAGAATGAAACGGCGCGAAATAAAATTGCATAGCTATGCGTGACGAGAATAGGTGCTATTCGATAGTTAAAAAAAAAAAAAAGAAACGAATATGGGGAACGCGAAGAATGGCGAGAGGAGGGCCACGACGAAAGCGTGTAGATAGTCCATTTAGGTAGGGAAAAAGGTCCTTTATACGGTGATGTTCACGCGCGCGTGCTCCAAAAGAGACAACGTACCCAGCATACGTTGACACGCACGAATATATGAGACATTGCGCGAATACATGAGACATCGCGCGATACCGATTTTATCGGAGCCGAAATCCGATACTTAGATACGACGAAAGGAATTCCTCGCGATGACTCGCAGCAATTGGTACAGTTCTCACGCGAGAATTTATGCGAGTCGCTCACCGATATGGATTACAGTCGGTCAAATAAATTCTTTTGCCCCATGCATAAACCGTGTATCCCATGTGAATTTTTGAAGTAGATTAATTTATATAACACGTTCTATCGTGTGTGTCAAACGGAGAGCATGGAAGAAATTCCCAAATATTCCAAAAGATAAAATGGAGCATAAAGTAGAAAATACAAAATTATGCTAACATTTAATAATATTTTCTCTTTTTTTAAAAATGATGTAAATATATTTTCTCTTTCTTAAACAGTGATATATTTAATATAATATAATATTTTACGAATGAGAGAGTATATTAGACTCTCTTTTTTATGATAAAAATTCTTTCAGAGACAATTTCAATTTTAATTCAAAGCAAATTTCGTTCCTGAAATTAAACGCATTATTCTATCTTTTTGAGATATAATGATGTATAGGATACATGGTGTGTAAATCATGGAGCAATGGAATTCTCTTTTTCCGACTATATCGTAGCTATATGAGAGTGAACGGTTAACTATTCAATTAAATAAGCAAATAATTGAGCATCGGCGATCGCATCGAATTAATCAAACCTTCATTTATTTGTTATGCCTATAGCTACGAAGAAAAAGACGATTAATTATCGCGGATACTTCCGTCAACTTGGCATTTCCATTACGAGAAATCAAATTCGAATATAATCAATTTTTTATTCTAATTTTCCAAATTTATTGCTTCTATGAATTAGCATTAAATTGATATTAAAAATGAGGATGCTGACACTTAAACATTACGTTAACACGAAACCTTACTGAAAAACATTTCTAACAAATCATAAATAAATAAATGTATAAGAATTAATTGATAATTAATTGCTAAAAAAATACTGTAAAAAGATAGATTTTAGAAATATTAAATTTTTATGAAAGTATCAAGACGAAATACATTAGTGCCAAGTTAACGGAGGTATCGCGGATTAACCGGGTCTTAATCGATCCCGGATGTACAATTAAGGCGGCTATGTGCAAGAGAAATAGAGATGATGTGCATTTGGTGTCCGATTTGCGGTCATAGATAACGTAGAGACGATCATCGGACGGAAACGCACGCGATTATTAGCGGTATCCGCGACGACCTCGTTAGAGAAACCACAGTTTTAACATACACACACCTACAACATTCGCGACGATGACAGATCACGTGGCACGCTACGCTGCGACAAAAATAAAGACAACGACTGTTCTGTCCTCATTTCGTTATTCGTAAGACGATACAGACAGATACTATGCAAAAAATTATCAGCGAGAACGAGACTATCGCCGGAAAAAAAAATTTTTCGTATACGCGATCTCTCGATTCCAATTAATCCTTCACCTCATTCAGATTCGAAAGGAAGTATTAATAGCAAAAATTTCAAATCAAGGCCGACTTGTATAAGAAAATTTATTAAATGTAATACGCGATAATGTGAGAGGCTGAAAATATTTATATTTTACGTCTGAGATATTTAATATTTTTTAATGTTTAAAAGAGAGAAAGAAATTCTCTTTTTTTTTTTGAGCAAAATAGAAATTCTTTTTTCTTTTACAGCCAAAAAATCGATCTAATACGTTTCATTATTTCCTCGAATCTAAACGGTGTTAATTAAGAATTATCCTTCGCACGATTTAAAGTTCCTCGATTTACGGAATGTGAGAGGACCGCCGTAATCATCGATATTGTCTCGTTATCTATGAGCTCTGTTACATGGCACCCTTAATCGAGTTTAATAATGTCCGTAGTTGTAAAACTGGCCAATCACAGCTATTCCTCCGAAAAATAGAATGACTGTGATTGGCCAGCCTTAGAACTACGGATTTTAATTAGCTCGATTAAGGGTGACGTGTAAACGTAGTCTATGACCGTATGGCGTACAACATTCATAAACATCATAAGCATCATTAATGCGCACGATGTGACGCGCGCGGGAATATGTATAGATTTCTATTTGTTTGTTTATTTATTGTTAGGTAGAGAGCGCGAACTGCGCGTGACGATCCGCGGCTAGGCAGGAGCCACCAACTTTTTAGATGATCGAAACCCTGTGACTGTTTAGCTTCTAGATTTTATTAGCAATGTAAGAATGACTAAAATATTATTTTGTTGATATATACATATTATATATATAATTACTATTGACTATGAATTACGAATAATCTGTAAATATACGAGAACACCGCAGCAACCATGTCTCTCCCCTAAATTATCTATACAGCTTTCCCTTCTCATCTTTCCAAAAGATATCATAAAATCGAATCCATCTCGATCGCATTTTAACGTAAGTTTGGCGATCTGTGATTGCGTTCCGATTTTCTGAAAATCTATAGTGTATATCGTAAACTATAGATTTCAATGAATATCGGAACGCAGTCTGCGACTCGATGACACCTCGAATAAATATTGTTATCACTTACAACTTACATCATCGCTTCTGGCATTTGCGTTGAAGTTGCCTTCGATTCAAAACTCGCTCCGTCGATGTCCGCGATGTATCTCCGGGAATCCATCTCTCCCGAGAAAAAATCCTCGACTCCGGCACAATGTGGTCCGATCTTGAGCCGCACGCGATTCAATTTGAAACAGATTCGCGCATAGATTTACGATCGACGGTAGGCGCGCGTCGACATGCGTCGAAAACGCGATGACAACAAGCAGGCGTCGCGCCGGCGCCGGCCGCCATGTTGTCGACGCGAGTCGAGCGCGTGCGCAGAAGCGAGGCACGGGACTTGACATTTCACAGGCGCAGGAAAATATTTCGAGTAACGCGGATGCGATCGACTTTGAAGATTCGCGTTGGGCGACGATGTCATCGACGAGGATCGCGAACGCAAAACGTAAATACCGTAAGAGATACCGTGCAATCATAATATTTACGTAAATATATGTACATACTTGCAAAAATCTTCGCGTCGACGATGAATGAAATTCGACGATAACTTCGCTCCAAAGCATGATCATCGGAACATCGAATCGAACCGGAAGTGGACTGTTCGCAAAGATGCGAGCGCCATCGCCGATTCGTCTTTCCCGGTAAGTATCTCGTCTCATTTTTAATTTCATTCTTTTTTTTTGGATTCAACATATTTTTATAAGTTTATATAGAATAATAAAAAAATTAATATAATAATAAATACAAATTCAATATTTTTTTAGAGTATATAAAAGTTAAATTCTCTCTCGATTTGTAGAAATTCTAGATGAAAAGCGCATAGTTCAGTATGAACTATATCGAAAATACCTAATGATCGCCCTTTATACATATATCTAACGAGCATTTAATTCTCCGATCGAATATTGCTTGCACAAATGTCGAGACATAATTTTGTTTATCAATTGATAATGCTTTAAAGCACCACCATTCAAAAACTAAATTTCATATACTTGCGCGCGTATCGTTCTCGTAAAAAACATGAGCCAAGAAAGAGAGAGAAAGAGAAAGAAAAAGAGAGAGAGAGGGAGAACGTGTGTGTGACAGAGAAGTAACTTTGTCCTTTAAAAAAACGCGTAAAAGCTTTGCAAAACTTTATCAAAATCTTACAAGTTTTATAATCAGGATTCAATATCGATTTTAAAATATAGACGCATCATTAGCTCAATATATATCACGTATATTTCATTCATCTTATATAGATAGGAACTTTTTTAAGGCACATTCCACTTGACGTTTGTAACGCTCGCGAGATTATTTTTCTCTCATCTCTCATCCTTGTTCACCGAAAGTGTCACAAAATAAATAACGTTCGAGAATGGCAAGTGGGATATGTGTAATATCGGAACATATATGCATTTTTCATATCTATATATTGCGAAATATATAAACGTATGTTAAGGCATTAATGACGCCTTCTGCGCATACCCTTATTACAAGGTGGGGAAAAGTGGGAGGGAGAAGGAGAGAGAGGGAGACAGCATCATCCCGCTCGCTGTCTCTCTCGAGCCGCGGAGAGTTCGCGGACTGCGCATTTCAATATGGCGAAATTTCAGTGAGGTCAGCAGCCTCGACATACCGCTCTCGCGTTGATACGTACTCTCGTACTTCCCGTGGAAAACTCCTTTTCTTTCGCTCTCGTCGATTGCGTCGCGATCGCGCCGCGTTGCCTCGCTGTCACTTTCGAGTGACGTGAATCTCCTGTCATCGTCGACGTCCCTTGAAACGGTTGATTCGGCCGACGTCGTTCGCTACTCCTCGCAGCGACGAATTCTGGAGCAAGGTATGTAAAAAGGAGGATTTTGCCCGAAACGAATTTTTCTTTTCCGCATCGTTCGTTTTCGCCCGTATTTTTTCCGCGTCGCGTCTCTCGTCAGCCTCGACGCCGGTGCCTACCGGATTAAATAATAGAGGTTAGGTGCGCGCGCTCCGATACGTCGCACCCGTCCGTGAGATGCTCCCGCAACGATCGAGCGTAATAAAATCGCGTCGGAATATTGAGTCGGGCTTTCTTGTCGTCGGACTTTCTCGTCTCGCGTTTCAGTATCGTAAAAAAGTCGTGTGAAGCGAGTGTGACAAACTTCACGCTGAAAGAGACGATCGGAACGGATTATTTTGGCAGAGGAGCTTGGAAGAAATCAGCCGAGATCTTCGCGAGAAAGTGGTTAGATTAAATACGGAAAAGCGTAAGAAGCGGCTGGCGATCTTGCAGACGTGTAAGTCTTCTCGAGGTTACGACGTTATCGTCTCGAATAAACATTGCGTGGGAAAAAAAAAAAAAACTATTGTCATCGTTTCACTCGCGAACATGATGACAACCTTGCCGGGGCATCGTTTTGCGCAAAAAGTCGTCAAGTCGAGTATTCCCGACTCGATCGGAATTTACGTGAAAATTTTTAATGACGATCGATGTTTATTAAACGTGTGTTTACGATTGTTACTTATTAATGTATCGCGCGTACTCCCCGTTTTCTTTTCGTTTTTTTTTTTTTTATTTTTTTTTTTAATGTTGGGCCGTAAAATGACATTACGCGATAATTATTACATGTGTTACGCAGTCAAACGTCTTTCTTGAGAAACTCGTATGCGGTTAGTATTGTGTACGAGAGGAATAATGTCGACATTTATGTGAAACTGCGGTAAAACGTCTTGTGTAATATATTTCGACGCATCCTAACCTTGTTGTAGCTGGCTCGATAATGCAGGGAATTCACTTATTGATGAAAACAATCTTTCACTAATCGTGTTTTTTTTTTTTTTTTTTTTTAATAAACATTGGTAGTATTGTTCCTCGCTTCATATGTTTGAAATTGGCTGTTACCATTAAATCAAGCAACTGTGTAATTTTTCTTTTCAACGACTCTGTATCTTCCATAAATCTTTCTGGTCGCTCGTTCAAGGACGACTATAAGAATGACAATAAAGGCTAATGATTTACAAGCTTCAACGTTTTACCAGAACTCGAATCAAACGATCCTGTTAAATTCATTCAGGTAAAGAGACTCGTTTGCTCAAAATGATTCTGGGAATGTGATTAAGTGTCGTGAAATAAATTAAAAATCATTTATGAAGCGAAAAAATCAAATATATTGTAATAATACCTTAATGACAAAAGATATCAATAACTTTAAAAAATAATTTCGAGAACAAAATTATTTTAATAAATATCATTTTTTTATATATTTAGAAAAAAGTGTTTCGAAATTACCGATTATTTTTTTGACAATAAATTATTTGACTAATTTCATGTCGATTTTCCTTTAATGAGCATGAATAATTTTGAAATTATAAGCAATTGAAAAGAAAAGGCTTTTCACAAACTAAACTTTGAGAGCTAAAAGATAATAAAACTCTTTCAGTCTTTTCTTTTAATTTCAAATAGAATTTTAATTTAAAGCTTGCAAAGGATTTTTTATGATGGAAAACATTAGAAATTTGTAATAAATAATTATTTCTCTTGCTAAGGAAAAAATTCACATTATTGTGTGACTAAAAAATCTATCATTAAAAAAATATCTGGTGGTTTTGCAATATTTTTTATATGTATGTATTTTATGATTTGTGATTCATAAAGATGTTTTATTTTGTTATAGAAACAAACCACAAAAAGCGCAATTGAAAGAAAAATCGGTGAAAGATATAGGAAAATATATCTTCCACTCTACGCAACATGTCCATGAAAACAACGTAAGTCTTCCTAATATGCTAAGATGGAGCATATTGTCCAAATTGATTGAGATTAAGATGTTGGGAAACTAATTTCTGGAAACATCTAATAATAATGGCGGAAAACACTACAGAGGACACCAAACTCTCAGTGAATAAAAACGATATGTCTGGGACTCCTCCAGCAATTTCTGCAATCAATGAAGCAGCTTCCTCTGATGGAGAGAAGGGTGAACTTGACAAAGCATCTACTTCTAAAGAAGATGCAGACGTAAGAAATGAGACAGTTGTGACAGATGCAGATTTGCTTGATAAAGAGAAACAAAATACTTTTAAAACTGATTGCAATGGAGATTCTAAGGAGGAAACAAAATCCGGAAATGTGTCTTCCGAGAAAATTGAAGAAGTCAAAGAGAATCTCGAAGAATTTTCTTCTACAGAAGCAAGATCTGATAATCAAGAAGTTAAGAAATGTCACTCTAACGTAGACAAGAAACTGAATGAAATCTTAAAAGTCGTGCACGGAGATTTGCAGATGGAAATGCTCCAGAAGATTACTGGCATCTCTACAAAAGACAACGACGAAGAGGGCAATGAAAAAGATCAGCAGACGGTAAAAAAGGATGAAACTGCTCCGGAAGACAATTCAGTGGATAGCTCGAAGAAATATACTGCTTCCGCAACCTTAAAAAGTACAGAAGACGAAAGGGATTCGAGAAGTTTCTCGATGAGGGCAGAAGAGAAATCGGAGATAGGAATTGTTGGTTCTCCGACCACGATCAGCGAGCTTATTAATGAAGAAGAGCTTGGAGGCGACTCTGCATTATCCGTCGATCAAAAGGATCATATAGTAGAATGGGTCGAGAATTCGGTTAAGGTAAATGCCGACGAGGAAAATAACATTGCTGAAGAATGTCAACCAGAGATGTACGAAAAGGATACGATGGAGACAATGAAACGACAGAAGCTTAATGATATCTATGTCATATCATCCAAAAAATCGCAGAAGATTGTCAGCAACATCATAAAGAAGAGCATCAAGTGGTGAGTGCTATATATATTTGTATTATTACTAATATTCTATATTTAATTATTAATTATTAACCATACACGCGCATTGTACATGTGCTGGTCAAAAACATGGAGTTGAAAATGAAACATCATTCTGCAATAATAATTATTCGCACTTCTAATCGTTCTTGCTTATCTCTCTCTCAAATTTAAAAATATAATCGCCTTTTCTTTCCTTTCAAATTAAATGAAAAAAAAAAAGATAGGAATAGATACGTTTCGCGATTTGTTCGTGATATGATTGCATAATTCTCTGCAAAAAAATATTGAATTTTTCCGCTTTAACATTATCCACACAGAAGGTCTCTTAAAAATCTAGAACCAGGGAGATTTATAAATATTGATTTTTTTTTAAATTTAAATTGCTCTGCACAATTTTTTTATTTTTTAAAAATACCACGAAAAGAAATTGCCAATCTATTCGCGCGATTTCAATGCCATCGGGAGCGTATATGTTCTTCCCGATGCAGGATGGTGCATCAATGTCGCGTTCGCTGAAAGATATTTAACGAATATCTCCTTTCTCTCTCTCCTTTGTAACTACCGGCGATGGTGGCCGAGATTGGTGTTATCGGCCGATAAAACCGGGATAAGTGGCGAGCGCGTTGACAGACGCGCAAACGCACGCTAACGACACCAGGCTAAAGAGGGAGAAGAGGTGAAGACGAGAGAAAAAAAAAAAAAGAGCTGAGGGAGCGAAATATTGACCGTGGGACGATAAGTAAACGGTGATATCGATAACGGGATGTGACTATTTCTGCTGCTTGCTCTCTCCTTCTTCAGCCTCCGCTTACCTACGAGAGAGTGTCCTTTATTTTTCCGTGTTTGCATCATAAATATCTTCGATATAGCGCACGCATGCACATTCTGCTCTTCTATGTTAAGAAGGAACTGGATGGATCAGCTACATCAAAAGTTAATAAATCTAATACATTTCGAGATTCATGAAGTTGATATTGCGCAAAGCATTTGCGCCAAATTAATAATTAATATATGAGTTAAAATAAATATTTGTTCTGTAGAATTAAAATTTTTATTTTTACGTATTTTTCCGTCGTACAATTAAAGTCATGGTATAGTCACTGTAAAAAAAGTTCGATATAAAATAATATTTACAATTTTGAGGTTTGAAGTTATATTCTACAAGGCAAATCTTTAACTCGCAAATTAATTATTAATTTTATATTTTACAAGGCTAAAAGTATTTTGCGTGTGCACAATGTCAAAAACTCATGAATCTCAAAATATATTAGATTTATTAACTTTTGACGTAGCCGATCCGTCCAATTCCTCTTTACGTCACGTCAATAAAATTTTTTATTAATAATGTAGTATACTAAATGTTTTTTAATCTGTTATTCTATATATCTTGTTTTTTTATTTTTTTATTATTATAATTACAATCACCAACTCTAAAAAAAAGGAACACTAGTACATAAATAATTCGTTTATAACAATTAAAATTTTATAATTAAAGATACTTTTGATTGGTACCATCTATCCGTATGATGCTGGAGAACGTTTATTTTCGCGTTTATGTCGCGGAATATTTTTATTTCTTAAATGCGTTCTTGATATACAAGTCGTTTGTACGGAAGAGAGAAGAATAAATATAATTTTGTCAGTTGCCGTAGTCATGGTTATCAATGCTTTGATGACACGAAGGTTAAACGGCGACAATATGCCTTTGATGACGCCAAGCGTAACCTTGCATAAGCAGTACTGCGCCTATGATGATGTTGCTATCGGTATCAAGGCGTTACCTCGATCTTTACGTATATGCATTGGAAAAAAAGTAACTATAGTATCGCGGTTATCGCCGCTAAAAAGTTAATATCGAGCGCGTAAACAATTTCCGGTATTAAACTCACCTTGTACGTTTTCCCTATAATTAATGTATCTTCAGAATGATGATCATTTAAGCTTAATGATTATTTAATAATAGTATAAAAGCGATAAGAAATTATGGTTATTTATTTTATGATTATGTTTCATACTTTCGATTCGATTATGCTCCGATTGATATCGCACTGTATCTTATCAGTTAGCAAAACTGTTCAGCAATTTACAGAAGACAATAATTTATTAGTATAACATTGCTTTTAACAGAATTTTATTTATGATATTGGGTATTATTTATTCATTATCTGTCATCGAGTAGACATTCGTTCTTAAATATAAAATAATTCAGATTTATTGTATTAGATATTATATAGATATTATATTATATTAGATATTATTTTTCTCCCACGTGGATATAAACACCATTGTCTTTTGTCATTTTACCACGAACAGTTTTATTTATTAATGTTTGATAGTGAATCGAAATTTACCAAATAGTATATATTTACATATTTACATATTTTTTGATAGCATACAAAAGTTATAAAAAATTATTTTTACATATTCTCTTCTTTCTTGCTTTTTTCTCTCTTTCTCTCTCTCTCTCTCTCTCTCTTTTCCTTTTGCTTATATTAAAACGTTTTAAACGAATTTTTATAAAAAACGTTTGCGAGTAATTATATTCATACTGCGTCTCGAAAGACACCCTGTATATATATGTCTATATGAAGAAAGAGCTTTCGTATCCATTGCGCGATTTATTTCTCGATCGATGAATCGATCAAGTGACATTTTACCACGTGCTTCTCGGAAACCGTCGTAGTCGAGAGTCGGGATAATTATAATACGCGCGATCGACCAATATATATATATATATATATATATACATATAAATGCGCGCGCGTGTTTTACGGGAAGGCTATCCAGTTTCCATGGTCCCAGACCAAGGCTGGTCTCACCCCGATGGCGGCGGCAGCAGCAGCCGCCACCGCCGCCGCGCCGGCCGGATGAAAGTGGAGCGGTCGCGACGACGCGAGAGGGGCTTTAATCCCCACGAACGGTACCATAGAAACGGTACCGCTAGGGTCGTTATGTGCAGTCACCGCCGGAGACCAACCACTCCGGTACCGGCTGGAAGGGCTCGTTCCATCCAGCCCTTCGACTCGATTATTCCGACCCTATCCTCACGCTCGATCCGCATCCATCTGGATCTCCGCTATGCGTTTTTCCTTACGCAATAAAATCTCGACGAAGATGGAAAAAATTTATAATTTAATCTAACAATAGATTGTAGTATTTATATAAGAGGGAATATATATATATGTCTATATATATATATAGAAGTCAGAGTCGGATCGAACGGCTTATCATTTTGCGTTTTAACGTTTTTTCCGCGTCTTTTGCACAAATTATAGTTATATTTAAAGCATTCCAATTGGAGCCGATTTTATCGAACTTATTTAAACGATCAATATCGAAGAACTCGCTTCTCGAAAATCCAAACCCAAGGACATTAAAGAAAACGGGAAGGTCTTTCTTTGTCAGTGAATCCGTCCCTCGGGCGAAGGACCGCAGCCAGATGTTGAGGGGACGAAGAATTCTGTTGACCGTACACACGAACGTACACGTGTACGTGTGTACGTATTCTATATCGCTCTTTCATACATATGTGTATCTTTTGCTTGTGTTATGTACGCTAGAGTGACACGCTCACGAGGGATGTGCGTGACGGTACCATCATGGCGGAGTGGTTGCCTCGAACTTATAGAGGTTGTCTTTCCCGAGTTTCGTCGTCTCATTATGAGCAAGTCGTTTCAACAGATTTGCATCTACGCTTTGTATTCCTTTACGAGTCGAATTATTCCCGCGAATATTTTAATCGAGAACATAATCGTGGTTATTATTCCCTATTGAAAAATTTAAGAGTTTCGACGACTTTGTCAGGAAAATATTAATTTAAAACTTTTCCATGACTTTGGGAAATATTGCTTTGTTGCTATGAAAATTTGGAAGCTATGAATTACAATATAATATTTAAGCAAAATAGATTTTCATCTCTTTAGCTATGAAGAAAAATACATGTGCGTCTTAATAAATTTACCTGAAAAAAAAAAAAATAGTTTTGTATAATGAATGATTCAGACTTAGGTTTTTCAAAGTTTGAATTAACTATTGTGTACCCGGAACATTTGCAGCCCATATGTACAAGCGTAAAAAAGAAAATTCGAAAAATAATCGTATTTATTTCGAAAAATATCTATTTATACATATATATATTTATATTTATTTCGAGTAAGATCTCGATAAAAGAGATAATTATTACCGTTAAATAAAAAAAAAAATGGATCTCAGGAATATTAGTTTGAGACGTCACAAAAATTCTCCTCTATTACTTGTCACATTTTAAGAAATTTACATTGGTATCGTAGAAATAAAAAGTTGTTACTTTGAATCGTGATTGATCGCGGAGATCCAGATATCGTTCCGCGACAATGTTCCGTGTCTTCTTCGTCTTCC